GAGCCTGAGCTACAGGAACAGGTGAACAGCAAATGTGGTGTTGCTTGAATCAACCCTGCATTTTCCATTCTTCTTCATCCCAGGCTTTATTTAGACATTCAGTCTAGATATCTGCTTTACTTGTCCAAAGTAAAAATAGAAAGAAAACAAAAAACTTTTGGGAATTTTATTATATGCCACATAAATTATTATTTTAGTGAGTGTTCTAGAAAAAAATCTGTGGTACCTTGCTGCAGATGGACCAGCTCCCCTTTGCAATTTAGTTTGCAAGTGTTTTTTTTTTTTTTTTTTTTTCAGTTTCAGCCTTTTATTCTAGTCTCTCTCTTCCTACCACTCACCTTGTGTTTGTGACAAGGTCTCTCGCTGAGACCTGGGCCTTGCCAAATATGTTCAGGTCGTCGAGTCCCAGGGATCTTCCTGTGTCTTCCTCCCCCATGTTAGGATTACAAGTGCACACACACCTCCACACCTGGCCTTTTTTGTGGGTGCTGTAGACCAAACTTATCTCTTCATGTTTGTGTAGCAAACATGCTATTTCCTGGCCCTCTGTTCTAGTTCTTTCTTTTAATTTTGATCTTTGCTTTATAGTTCAGAAACATTTGAGTGGGTCCTAGATTAAAAGAGTGGCTTTGCGAGGGTATATGTCTTTTATTTTAAAATGTCAGGGTATTGTTAGTTATCCAAGTAGCATAAGGTAATGGAAAAGTATAAAATCAAATGCTAGGCGTGGTGGGCCATGCTAGTAATCCCAGTACTTGGAAGCCTAAGACTGAAGGACTGCCATGAATTCAAAGCCAGCTAGGCCATGTAGCAAGACCCTTTCACAAAAATACATACATGCAAAAGAAGGAAGAAAGGAAGATGAGCAGATGAGAGAAAAAGAGAGAAACAACCCCTGATGCCCCTACCCACTGTGATTACTGAAGTGTTTTGATCTAATTCCTCCCAGACTATCTCTCTCTTTTGGTACCAGGAATATGATTTTGTTCCTAGGCCTCTGATACAAGGCTATCTGAGGCTTGTTCAAGAGGATATACTTTTTGCATTTCCTGATTCTGTCTTTCTTCCAGCCTGTAAAACTTTTGTCTTTCTGAAATTAGGTATTGGGGCATGGTGTCATGTGCTCTTAATACCAAATCTTGGGAAGTAGAGGCTTAGGATCATCCTCAGCTACACAGTGAGCTCCAGCTGACCTGTGCTATATGAGACCCCCATCTCCAACGACAAATAAAAATCAAATCTGAGGTTATATCAGGAGAGAATAACCAAGATGGAAACATAAAGTAAAATAATAATAAATAATAGATGCTGAGTCACGCTGGGTGACTTGGAACTGGGAGGGAAGGAGGAAGGACAAGAATGGCAGAACAGCCTGTGAGCTGAGTGTTGAGAGCTTGGAGGAGGTCAGATGATACAAACTGGCACACTCAGTACAGACAGCAGGAAGCCATGGTTGAGGTGAAGTAGGAAAAACCTCAAGGTGGTGTGAACTCAAGTCCAAGTAATGCTATTAGATACTAAGAGAGCAATAAGCCTGGGCTGCAGGCTGAGAAGCAGCTGATTTCATGTTTTTCTATTTTCTTTGTGTAGTTTTTATTTTTGATCAGAAAATAGTATGCAAATGATAAGCCAGATCTGGTAATGCATATCTCTAATCCCAGCTACTAGGGAAGCTAAGGTAGGAAGATAGAGTTCAAGGCTAGCCTGGGTAACTTGGTGAGATGCTGAGACACCCCCCCACCTCCAGCTCCCCAAAACACAAACAAACAAGGTAAAACAAAACCAACAGTGTGAGGATATAACCTAATCATAGAATATTTGCCTATCAAGCATAAGACCCAGTAGCACACACATACATAGAAAGATCTGGGTTATAGCTCAGTTGGTAGAATCCTTGCTTAACATTCATGAAGTTCTGGGTTTGAGCCCCAGCACCACATACAATGGGCATGGTGTCCCACACATGTGTTTCAGGGCTTGGGAGGTAGAGGCAGGAGGATCAGGAGTCTAGGCCATCTTTATCTGCACACTAAGTTTGACACTATGGTGGGATACATGAGACCCCCATCTCAATAAAAGAGAGAGTAGAAAAGAAGGAAAAAGGGAAGGAAAGTGAAATGTAAATTATAGACCTTTCTGTCTTAGGGTTATGTCTCATGCGTGATATGATAAATCTGTCTAACAAAGGGAATGTGTTATCATAGCTTTTACCTACTCAATACATTGCTAATATCTTGTTGTGCTACTAAATAATAAGCCAGATCTTGTAGAACAGTCCTGTGTCTTTCAGCTTGTTTAAACATAGCTGTGCATATCCCAGTCTAGTAAATTGTTGGTCACATAGGTTATTCCTTACAGTTTCTCATGTAAATACCACTATCACGGCATTATCAGTATTGGAAATCTTATTTACTATCTTTGTATTCTCAAGCTTGAAAGGTCTCAGTGTTTTCAAGGATTTTGACTGAAATGGGCAACTGTTATTGTCCTACCAGGAATGGCACTGGTGGGATTGGATCCTTTGAAGACAAAAGAGGGAAGAAACACAGTTTATTAGACACACTGTGGCACATACAGAGAGGGCAAGGCAATAGAGAGAGCCCATCTGCATGCAGCCATTCAGGGGGCTGCATTTTATGCTGGAAGGGGGAATTTCCATGTAGGCAGTTAGGCAGTATCTCAATGTCACAGTGCCCTAAGTAATTGGAGTTGGAGCTGTGCTTAGCAACAGCCTGGCTTCGAGACAGTAATGGTCTTCCTCTGAGTCAGGAGTGGCTCAGCAATGACCATCATCCTAAATTGGCACCCTAGCTGGGGCTTGTTATGTTTCACCTTTCCTGAGAAGGTAAGAGTCCTGCTTGGAGGTTAAAGTGGCCACATTCTGAAGTGAGACTGGCCCAGAAGAGCAATTGTTCCCAGAGCATCATCCAGGAGTGTGATAGGCTATATTTAAACTCTATCACACTACTCTCACCATTGTTTAATTTTCTTCTTGATCTCCCCCCCCCACTGCGGTCTTATTTGTTTTAAAGACAGGATCTCACCATGCAGTCCTGGCTGGCCTGGAACGCACAGAAATCCACCTGCCTCTGCTTCCTGAGTGCTGAGATTAAAGGTGTGCACCTCCACATCCAGAAATTCTTTCTTTTTTTTTAGGCACTTTTTCAAGGCAGTTTCACATTAATTCCAGCAGCCTGACAGCAAGGATAACAAATTTACACTTTCTACTCAAAATACTTTGTGTTTCAGTGGGCAGAATCAGAGCTAACTGTAAAGGGATTTTCAGTTGAAAATGGTGGTGCACATCTATAGCCACAGTACTTGGGAGGCTGAAGCAGGAGGATCATGGGTTTGAGGCTAGACTGGGTGTCTTAGTTACTTTTTCTATAACAGTTATAAAACACCATGATGGAGGCAACTTACAAAAGAAATTATTTCATTGGGCTTACAGTTTCAAAGGGATAGACTCCATGGCAATGAAGCAAGGGTGTGGCAGGAGGAGCAGCTGAGAGCTCATATTTGGTTTGGTAAACAGGAAGTGGAGGAGGCACACTAGGAATGGCTTGAGTGTTTTGAAATCTCAAAGCCCTACCCCTACTGACATACCTCCTCCAACAAGGCCATGCCTCTGAATCCTTCCCAGTCAGTTCCAACAATTAGGAACCAAGTATTCAAACACATGAGCCTGTTGGGTAATTCTCATTCAACCACAATATCAGGCTATATAGTGAGACTGGCTCAAAACAAATAAAAATAAATAAAATAAAAATAAAAAAGGATAGAAAGGTAGGTGACTACAGTGCTCGGTCCTTCTTATTCATAAAATACTTGTGGTTAAATACTTCTTCAGTGTTTCAGTGATGGATGTCCCACGATGAAGACCTTTGTCTCATGGACTAGTGAATTTAGAGGCTCTACATCTGGAATTCTGAGTTGACAACCTATGTTGAGGATACTTGGGGCCTCTGAAAAAGTCAATCGAGGACTTTTTGTGTCAGAAATCATAGAAACCAATATTTCTGTGGGACAGAAAGGTTAGATTATGTCAGACAGTGATTTGGATCATTTATTAGAAAAGCACAGACTAGTGGCAGCTTGCTTTAGGTGTCCATGTCAAGGAAGCAGTAGTGGGTAGGGAAGACTGGCTCTGCACAGAAAGCTTTTGTTCCCTCAAGGAGAAGGTATCCAAGCTACTGAGCTGTACAATGGAAGATGGGTCCAGAGTGATTGGATTCTCTTATTCAAGGAGAAGAAAGTTAACCTGTGAATTGTACACTGGGTTTTTGTTGTTGTTGCTTGTTTATTTGATCGTTTTGTGCCTTTTTCCATAAGGATTCAAATAAACACTCTAATAAACACTATACAGTTCAAACAGACTGGGTCTTGCTCATGGAGGCCATTATATAACCTCTACCCTACCTTTACCCATCATGGATAGATTAATTCATTCATTCATCATTCCCATTAAGACTGAAATACTTGGTCCTAAAAACAAATAAAACAACAAGACAACTGGTGTGTGGTAGTGTCCAGGATGTATAAAAGCTAAACACAGCACATCTATAAGAAAGTGTGGTCTTCAAATTGTGGGGCTCTAGTAAGATACGCTAGCTAGTCTTAGTTTGGCATTTTCTTTGTTGTTGTTGTTATTGATCATTGCTTCTTTCCTCCCCCACTTTTTTTTTTAACCTTCTATTTTGGGTTTTATTGTTGTTGTCTTCTTGTTTGTTTGTTTGTGTTGAGACAGAGTCTTGCTTTGTGGCTGAAGCTAGCCTTGAGAACTCATGATCCTTCTGCCTCAGTCTCCCAAGTACTAGGATTGTGTGGATCAACAAGACTGTATTTGTCACTGTTTTCTAACCACTAAGGCTGTTTCTCTATTTAGAATCAGTCAGTCCTGTCTACTTCATAGGTTAATGGCTTTAAAGTTCCTCCTCTTCCTTTCTGTCCTCAAGCTGTGTCTGATACTCAGCCAATCTTTCTTTTTTCCCACATCCCAGGTTTCTGAGCCCCTTCAATATGATCCTTGGAGGAATCATTGTGGTGCTGGTATTCACAGGGTTCGTGTGGGCAGCACACAATAAAGATATCCTTCGCCGGATGAAGAAGCAGTACCCCACAGCTTTCGTGATGGTGGTCATGTTGGCCAGCTACTTCCTCATATCTATGTTTGGGGGTGTCATGGTCTTTGTGTTTGGCATCACTTTTCCTTTGTTGTGTAAGTAAATCTATTTTCTTTTTCTCACTTCATTAAAATGAATGTAGGCATAGTTGGCCAGTGTACTAGATACACCTCTTGGTATATCTAGTACAGTATTCTGATATCTAGTAAAATATCAGAATCTTCTAAAAAGCACATGAAAGCCTAATAGTTGCTTATTTCTGCAAATACATTTGGGCACTTGCAGTGTGTGCTCTTACAGAGAGATACTATTAAACAAAACAAATACAAATCTCAATCACATGGCAAGAACTGGTACAGCCTGCATAGTATCTGCATGATGGCTCACAACTAGCTATAACTCTAGTTTCAGGGGATGCAATACCTTCTTCTGATCTCTGCAGGCACCAAGCATGCCTATGGTATGCATACAAATCTACATATAAGTAAAACTCTCTCTCTCTCTCTCTCTCTCTCTCTCTCTCTCTCTCTCTCTCACACACACACACACACACACACACACAATTGGATAAATAAAATACTATGATCCTGGTGAACTATATATATTTGCTAAATAGCTTACTTTCTAAGACCACAAACAGTATGAAATGAAATAAAGATTCAATTCAGGTCTCAGCAGCACAAATCTGGCTGAAATACTAGTGTAGTTGGTGGCAAGAAAATGTTCCTTTACATTTGAAAATGTTTCACCTGTACATCTGTCCTAGTAAATAAAATCATTTGCTTATTTGATATCTTATCAGATTGAGCTCAGAATATTTACAAATGAATCCTACTTTGTTACACACACTAGTAGTTTTGTTTTTTCCTCCTTGGGGGCCACTACCCAGCTCACAAATAAATACATGAAGACTAATTCTTATGAATGCCTGGTCATAGCATGGCTTGTTTCTGGCCAGCTTTTCTAACTTAAATTATCCTGTTTCTCTTTAACTATATTTTGTCTGTTGGCATTTTACCTTGTGGCTGGCTATGTGGCTGTTGCTGGCTCCTGGCATCTTCCTCTCCTCCTTTTCTTGCTCCTCCCCTTTGTCTAGATTTCTCCTCCTATTTATTTTCTCTGCATGCCAGCCCTGCCTATTTCTCTCTCATGCTTAACCTACTGGCTGTTCAGCTCTTTATTAGACCAATCAGATGTTTTAGGTAGGCAAAGTAACACAGCTTTACAGAGTTAAACAAATGCAACAAAAAATTTGCATCATTAAACAAATATTTCACAGTAGCAACAAATATAACACATCTTAAACTAATATTTTGCAGCAACACACACTATTTCAACCAGTAAATTAAAACTTTGGGAAAATTTCCACCCCCTTGCTATCCTGAAAGTTAGCACTGGAAAGATTCCACTTAAACACACTGTTTGTTAACTGTTGTCTCCTTCCTCCCTACAAGCCTGAGACAGCCAAAGTAATAAAATACATCACAGAATCAGGAGCCTCAGTTTCTCTCCAGAGTCACAGGAAACCAGAGTATGATCCTAAGTGAGCTTCATTCACCCATCTCTAAGACATGGAAATTAATATCAGTTATCCTCAAGCTCAGATATACAAGATCCATCTGTCCAGATACTTAATAAAATGTATCTTTCTGAGCCATAGCCTTTGGAAAGCCTGATTCTGTGGGTTGCTTGTATCTCTAAAGGTCAGAGTAGGCTAGGAACCTCTCATCTTCCTCTCAATTATGCATAGTGGAATGTGGAAATTTGCCTATAGTAGGTTCTTGTTATTTATGTATTTATTATGTAGGGCATGTGTATATGCAGAGGCATACTCGTGTTTCCCCGTGTGTAAGGGTGAGCATGCAAAGGCAGCAGGAGTCTTCCTCTGTTGCTCTCCATTTTATTTGAGGCAGGGTCTCTTGATGAAACAATCAGCTACTCTATCTAGCTCATTTGTCCTGAGAATCCTGTTTCTGCCTTCTAAGTGTTGGGATTACAGACTGACTGCCATGCTACCTGGCTTTTATATTGGTCTTGGAGACCCAAACTCCAGTCCTCACACATTGTTCATTGAGTCTTTTTCCTGGTCTTTTTTTTTTTTTTTAAGAACTGCATCTGTCTGTCTGTCTATCATCTATCTTTCACAAGAAACTGTGGAGGTAGGACAACTCTTCCCACCATGTGATTCCTGGGAATCATACGCAGGTCCCCTGCTGAGCCATCTCATCAACTCCCCAGCCCTATTTAATAGGCTCTTTGAGTGCTTTATACGTACATGGAAAAAAAAAAATGATTGTTAAGATCACATAGTGTCTTAAAATACAGATTCTCTTTAGGTCTTGGGACAAGAGGTCCCCAAGGAGAGCCTATGGAATCTGTCTCATAGTAAACACTGTCAGGTCATTGTTGATGATACTTTAGAAAACATGCCTCTTTGGAGGCACCTTAAAGCAGGGTTTACCTGCATTCTGGCATTCAGGGAACAAAGTACAGATAAACCCAGAATGCAAAAGCCCTTTCTGGGAAACTTTGGATAAGTGGATTCATGTTCAGGTTGGAATCACGTTGGTAGACAAATATGTTGAATGTCATGCTGTTTAAGTAACATTTGCCAGGTGGGGATTTCAGTGGGGAACAAAGAATGTGGCTGTCAGATCAGAGCTCTTCCAAGGGACTATGTGTTTTTTTCCATTCACAAAGCAATGTGTGTGGCTTGACAAGTAGCTTTAAGTCTATGGATCAGCAAGGCAAGCAGACCTGACAGCTAAAAGAGACCGTTTACAATATGTGTGAGGAGGAGTACCATATTGATGTGAAAAGGGGAACTCTTGGGCTGGAGAAATGGCTCAAGGGTACAGAGGACCCAAGTTTAGTTCTCCACACCCACGGTTCCTTGAGCAAGATGGATGGATGGATGGATGGATGGAATTTTTAAAAATTAAAAAAATGGGGCCAGAAAAATGATTCAGTTGACAATGGGTGAGGACTGGGTACCTCTCAACCGCTTTTAAACCCACCTCCATGGGGATCTGATGCCTCTGCAGGCACCTGAACTCATGTGCATAAACCCATAGACACAGATATACATATACATAATTGAAAAATAACAGTTTATTTTTTTACATAATTAAAAAAATGTAATGGGAATTCTTGCTTTGATGCTGTCATTTCTTCCAGTGATGTTCATCCATGCGTCCCTGAGACTTCGAAACCTCAAGAACAAGCTGGAAAATAAGATGGAGGGGATAGGGTTGAAGAAGACGCCAATGGGCATTATCCTGGATGCTTTGGAACAGCAGGAAGAGAGCATCACCAAATTGGCTGACTACATCAGCAAAGCCAGGGAGTAAACCCTCTAGCTTGGAGAGAGGGCCGCAGCAGGAATCCAGTTGCACTTTCCCCTTCTGTCTGTGGTTTTGAAACAGAAGGTGCACATCTTACCACCCAACTACCCATGGCATCGTGCATGCGCAGACCCACCTGTTAAGATCTCTGCTATGACCAACCCACCAGAGGCTTCAGAAACTTCTAAAATACAGACCCACACTCCCGTTATATCTGAAGTTTCCGGGTTGGACAACAACAGTACCAATGTAGGGGAACAGTCGGTGTAGAATCTGAGGCAACACTGAGAAGTGAAAAGTCAGTTAAAGTAGAGGATGCCTTGTGTCCATCTGTTTCTAACCCTGTCCGATAGCTCCTCCAGAATCCCCTACGACTATGTGTTAGCTTCGTGGTATTATCTTTGTCGTTTTAAAATCAGAGGTAATTTCTATCCCTTTGGCACCTGTTTGATGTGCAGTGGAAACTGGATCAGCCAGTTGTTTATATTTTGTTTACAAATATGAAAGTAGCTGTTTAGGACAATGTTTTGTTAAATTTTTGTAAAATTTTTAAAAGGGTAGTAATATGCTTTCACCAGAAGGTATTTCTTGCAAACTAAATGTCATCCTCCTGGGGTGGGGGAGGGGAAGGGGGTAGTTACAACTCTGTAACTTCTGTTATTCTTGACTTGTTAAAAAACTAAATAAATAAAAACAGACTTGAGTTCTGTTCATATGACACATTTTTGTTACTATAACAAATAAAAGGTGTCCAAGATAATGTTTCCATTGTTTAGGTATTTTAGTATGTTTTCTTTTTTGGGGGCGGTGGTTTTTCCAGACAGGGTTTTTCTGTATAGCCTTGGCTATTCTGAAACTAGCTTTGTAGACTAGGCTGACCTCGAATTCACAGAGATCTGCCTGCCTCTGGCTCCCTAGTGCTGGGGTTAAAGGCATACACCACCACCAATCAGCTTTTGTTTAAATGTTTTACATATTTATTTTTATTATTTTTATTTGTGTGTGAGACAATGTCACATGCATGCAGTGCCCACAGAGGCCACAAGAGGGCACTGGAGCTGGAGATACAGGGGGCTGGGAACTGAACTGAGGCCCTCTGGAAGAACAGGAAGTGCTCTTAACCTCCAAACCACCTCTCAGTCCTGGTTGTTTGGTTTTTAAGTAGATGAGAGCATAGGAAAGGAAGAAACGAGTGTGTGTTTTATTAATTCCTTAGGAGCTCAGGGAGGACATCAGCAGTTGATCTTTTGAACCTGCAAAGCTCCCCTAGAGGGCCATGCCAAAAGAGTTTAAAGAGCTCCTGGACCTCATAAAGTGTAGGCAGCAACTGTAGCAGCCGTTCACTTTAAAAACAGACATTAGGGTCAGAATGGTGTGAGCATATGTATTTCATTGCATTCATCCCTTTATTACTCATATATTTAGATAGAAATAGACTATGAGAAGAGGGTGTTTGCCAGTTTAGTGATTTCACAGGTGAAATAGAAAACATTTAGATTTGCTTCTCATTGAAAAGAGAACTAGTGTAGTCTTTCCAAAGAGCCCCTCTGTGTGTTCTAAATAATCCATGACTGTTTTGGCAACTTTGATGGTTTGTGTTTTAGTCCCAGCCATGCCGAAGCCTTATCTTTAGCTCAGAGCTTCAGATAGGGTTTAGAATTAGCCAAATAAAAAGAATAAAATTTATCAAAAGCGTTTTAGTGACACTTTAGCCAATGCATGTCAACTCAATGTTATTAAATATCTAGGAAACTTGTTGGTAGCCTGGAAAAACTTAATCACACCGAAGAGCTAATACGTCTAACTTGTGTTTTGAAAGCTGTTTAAATAAAACCTTAATAGGTATTTATTTGAAGCTAGAGAAACAACTGAAGTCTGGCAGGATCTTTTAACCCTGCCACAGACTTTATACACATCAAACCCATCCAATTCCTATGTGATATGTCTTGACTGTCATGAATTTGCAGGAACTGATAGCTTGAATTTTTAAAAGATACTCATTGCAATTTCTAACAGCCAGAGTCAGGTCTGGAGAGATACTATCCTAGTTTCTTTTCCTGGTGTTGTGATAAAATACTCTGACAAATGAAGTGGGTTATGGTAAACAGAGACCAGGGGAGTCCACAAGGGAGCAGAGTCAGTAGGCTAGGCTATTTAATCTTCGCTGACAGCTTAACTGGATTTAGAACTACCTAGGAGACTCACTTCTGGGCATGTCTTTGGGGAACCTTCCAGAGAGGCTGAACGGAGAACAGAAGACCATCCCTGAATGTGGATGGCACCATTCACAGCCTGGGGTGCCAGGCTGACCATCCAAGAGGGCACCAGTGAATACTGCATCCATCCCCCTCTGCTTCCTGTGACCAATATGACAGTGCTTCAGGCTCCTGCTCCATGCTCCCCTCCATGATGGGCCCTCAAACCATGAACCAAAGTAAACCCTTCCTTCCTTAGGGTGCTTTGGTCAGGCCACAGCAGTGAGGCAAGTAGCGGGACAGTGAGACAGGAGGCTTCCCCTGGCTCTCTAGAAAACTAGCAAAAGATTCTTTATTCTAAAGCAGAGGAAGGCCCAGGCGCCCACTTCACTCTTCCCATTCTCAGAGCTTTCAACATGATTTATTCCCTTTAAGATGCCAGGCAGAGGGTGACAACAGAGATGGAAGGAGAGAAAAATGGGAGTGGGGGTATAATCAACAGTTAACACTTCTGTCAGATTTATTGTTATTTACCAGAAGAAACAATAGTAAAGCAAGTATTTACCCAAACCATTAACTTCTGCTTCTAGAAGTATGGCTCTACAATTTTCACCCACGTCAATCAAACTCTTAGAACTGGAGCATAGTGCCTGTGAAGGCTGACACTTTGTATCCTTCCCCTTGTGTCTTGTCACGGCCCAAACAATCCCCGGCCTGGACGGAGTCACGTTCCCAGCTCTGTCACCCACACTGTTAGTGAAGCAGCCTCCAGCCCAGACCTTGTTCTAGATGACACTGTGGCTTCTTACGCCAGTTCCTTCGGCAGCTGCACCTGTGGTTGAAGCATTTGAAGAAGCAGAAATGAATCCTGGGAAGTTTAAGAGCTTTACAACAAAAATGATAAAACTTACATGTCTTGGTGGATGCGGAAGGCATTAGAGATGTTGGCAGCAGAATGCGCTAAAATCATGGTGAAGGCAGAACAACCAAGGGCACTATCATTGAGCATTAACCAGTGCCACAGCTGTTCTGAGATCTGTGAGCCTGTGGTGAAGCCGCCCACGGGAACCAGAGAAGCTCAGGGCCTGGCATCAGTGTTTACTAGCTAGTTACCTGTGTTTACTAACTGGCTACTAGTGTCTGCTAGCTGGTTACTGTGTTTACTAGCTGGTTACTGTGTTTACTAGCTGGGCACTGGTGTTTACTAACTGGCTACTAGTGTTTGCTAGCTGGTTACTGTGTTTACTAGCTGGTTACTGGTGTTTACTAACTGGCTACTAGTGTTTGCTAGCTGGTTGCTGTGTTTACTAGCTGGTTACTGTGTTTACTACCTGGGCACTGGTGTTTACTAGCTGGCTGGTGGGTGCTGAGCATCATTTTGCTGAGCTCTAAAATGGCAGTTAAGAATTTCTAGTCCCTAGAGTAAATGACCAACTCCCATAGTGGCGGTGAGTGATACATGAGGATGCTTACTTTCCACAACTTTATCTCACTGTGTCCTACACCAGCCTTGCAAGGAAGGGAAGGGCTCTGAGAGGACAGAGACTTCCCCAAGGTCACACAGCTGGAACTGCCCAAGAGATGGCCCGGCTGTGGAGAACAGCTCTTATAGAGGATCAGAATTCGTTTTCCATGTTAGGCAGTTCATGGCTACCTGTAACCCCAGCTCTAGAGGATCTGACACCTTCTTTTGGCCTCTGCAGGCTCCCACACTCACATGCACATACTCCCCCCACATACATAAATATAACATATATATCTGTGTTTTATACACAGATATATATATGTGTGTGTATATATATAAAATTAAAAAGTGTGTGTTTGTGTATGTGCGTGTGTTCTAGGGGCTGAGGAGATAGCTTCATTAATAAAGTGCTTGTATGGCAAATGAGTTAGATATCCACAAGCCACATAAAAAAGCCAACTGTGACAGTACCTACTCATTGTCTCAGCACTGGAGAGGTAGACAGTGATCTCAGGGGCCCCTGGCCAGCAGCCTTGACTGCTTTTCAGGCCAGTGAAACACCCTGTTTCACAAAACAAGATGGACAACACCCAAGGAATGATGCCTGAGGGTGACCTCTGACATGAAAATGTTTACACACACACACACAAACACACTCACACACATATACACACATACACATACACACACTCAATACATACACTCACACACACATACACACACTCTCACACTCACACATGCACACACATACACACACATACACACACTCTCACACTCACACATGCACACACATACACACACATACACTCACACGCATACAATACACAAACACATATACACACATACACACACACATGCACCTTTATCCTTCTTGAAGCACATTTCTACTATGATGTACAGTAAAGTTTTAAAATAAAATATATTTCTCAAGAAACCAAAAAAAAACAGAAAAAAAAACAAAAACAAACAAACAAACAAACAAAAAAACCAGAGTGTATTTTGGTAAACGTCACAAGGAAAAAAAAAACTGCAAAAGACACACATCTGTCCACCTCTAAAATCCACACCCAGCTTGTGTCGCATAGCAACAGCTTGACTTTCTTAAAGGGTTTTAAGGGGTGCTCCATCTTAGCAGGTGACTTGTCCATCATGTGTGCATTTTCCAGAAGATGCTGATGGCAGTGAGAATTGGGATTTGTCAGCAGCTGAGCATGCTTTCTCCTTCCTGCCCAAGTGCACCTGTCAGTGTGCTGGGCCCTCGTGGGATCTGCTTGGATCCTCCTGCAGTCAGTTCTGTGTCCATGCTCTCTGGCGAGGAATGTTTCACAGAGCCATGCCCTCCAGAGGGAACACTGGATGTCCCCTTCAGGCCAAGGGGAGTCCCCATATGCCTCTGACACTCTCCACCTCTGGTGCCAGACTTCAAGAGGAAGGGTGTGGCCTGTGTCTGGGTAGGCCTTGCCAGTGGAAAACCACAATTAAGAACAATGAACAAAAATACATGGAGTGCTTAAAATCATTTGTACGCTGCGACACACAGCTTAAACGGTGTCATCGTCGTATATGTTTGCACACAGATGTGGATGTTCTAAAATAAATATTTAAAAAAGTAAAATGTGGGGCTGTAGAGATGGATCAGCTGTTGCTCAAGCAGAAGAAAAGGCTCTGTTCCCAGCATCCACATGGTGGCTAACAGCCACCTGTACTCCAGTTCCAGGGGAGCTGATGCCCTCTTCTGACCTTTGCAGGCAATAGGCACACACATACAAACAAGCAAGTAAAACATGCATGCACATAAAATAAAATAAAAATTAAAGCAAAATGTAGCATCAACCCATTTTGCATAGGAACCATATCCTAAATAGGACCATGCTGGTGGTTCAGACCACAGGGCAAAGGGTTGAGTCACTAGATGACTATTAACTGCTTGGAAAAGAATAGTAAATCAGACATCTTGCATCATGCTCAGTCGGAAAATTTAACCCTTTAACTCATCCACTTCAGCAAACATTTTGTGAGAAACCTGGGCCTACTAAAGTTGCAAGGAAAGAAG